CTTTTTAAATAGAAAATCTCTTAAAAAGAACACTTATAGTCTTTGATATGTGCTAATGAAAGTCAAGTATGATTGGCCAATGAGTGTGGATAAACAAGAATCCAAATTACTGCCTAATAAATATGTGATTTTCTTTCATTTTATTGATTTTTACTTCGAACTCACTGAAAGTGATCGCTTGAAATTGCGTGAAATAAAATATTATCTAATCTATACTCTAGTTCTCTATTCTGAGTCGTGAATCCTTGATCTAATATACCGTGATCTGATCTGTGTATAACGGATCGTTTGAGTATTCAATCTAGCGGTAGTATAAACTTAATCACCCAGATTAGTCTTATAACCGCATGCAGAAACAAAACTATTTTAAATCTATTAGTTATATCAATCCTTTCTATCATTGATAATAATTTGGACCACTAATTCAATGGGGAATTGTTGAACAGATTAATAGTTGAAAGCGTGAGTTAATTAAAGCTAGACCACCATAGAAAACCTGGAAGCACTGGACGGCCGTTTCGTTCTATTATGGGACTCCACAAAACCCCTTCCGAACAAATCAATAATTTGAAGAAAAAAAAACATTTACGTAATTCATAAATCTTGTTATACAACTATTATTATTATTATCTTAGAAAACAAGGGAAAACTCTTTAAATTGTACATGATAATATCTGAATAGAATAGTTGCATAAAAGAGTTACCTAAAAATTATTTTTTTTTTGTTTTGTTTTAATTTATCTATATCCATATTGAATCTGATTGAAAGGTATATTCAATTAAAAATTGAACATTTAAAAAACAAAAAAACAAACAAACATGAACCAATGAAGTATATATGAAGTAAACTATTAATCAAGCATAGAACAGATAGTATTAATAGTATGATTAAAATTGTATTATATTTTATACTGTTCTTCTTAGGTACCTTGGTACCTTTCTGTCGGTTTATAGTAAAAACAGAAGTTTAATTAATTAAGATTTGATAAAATTAAAAAACAAACAAACAAACAAACAACTGAAGTATGATATTATTCATAAACAAATAATGGAGAAGGGAATGTCATGGATAATTTTTACTGTTCTTCATCATCATCATCATCTTCTTCTTCTTCTTCTTCTTCTTCCTCTTCTTCTTCTTCTTCTTCTTCTTATTATTATTATTATTATTATTATTATTATTATTATTATTAGTAGTAGTAGTAGTAGTAGTAGTAGTAGTAGTAGTAGTAGTAGTACATTAATAAGTACATATACGTAAAGATGAAATAGGTATGGAATGTATCATTTTAATATTATTGTACTGTTAAAAGAAATCACCAACTAAGTTTGTGTAAAAAATGATGATTTGTTGAGAAACATAATGGAATATAGTGTTTTTTGACTTTTAATTTAGGTGTTGTGTCCCTTTTTTTTTCTTTTATAATATTAGGCAAGATTGGCTGAATTCTATCAGTAGGAACTAAAATAAAAATAAAAGAAAGGAAGAGAAGAAGGGAAATTATTTGTACAAAGATGGAAGATAGGTATTGAATCTTTTTCAGTGGAAACTCTATGTTGATCGAGTAATACTGTAGAAATACTATTTGTATAGAGGGCTTGTGAAGATTATCGGATTGTGTAGTTTAGATTACACATTGATCGCTAAAAGCTATGAATCATTGGACAGTCATGTAATCCTAGTGTGCAACTCCTCAACAGTGAGCTTCAATAACAACATAGAGGGATATAAGAAAGGCCTTCATATCTTAACCGTTAGACTACTGAGTCAATATTCAATGGTTTATATTTTTAAGTCCAGTAGATTTAGGATACTTTATAAACATCTTCTGGTACCATTAGTGTGCACTAAGCATCACTCCTAATAACGATTGAACTCCACCATTGAATATTTCCATACTAGAATGAAACAACTGTCCAGTGCTTCTTAGTTTCCAATAGTTGTCGAAATAACGGTGGTAGAAGTAATTTTACTTAAAAAACGCCAGCTAGTTGGTAATTGTTCCATCATACAGTTAGAATATTTGAATGGAGTATCAAGAATAAAGTTTACTTTATAAACAAAATAAATTCGATTTTGTCTGACTAATTGTTGAATTGTTGAATTATTAGTTATTCAGTATTTGTTCATTTAAGGGTAAATACTTTCCTTCAATAACACACTTGGAATAGATAAATAGATTTTTGATGACAGACAAGAATAATGTTATACGGAAGGATTTTAGAGGTGTTGATTCCTCTGAGCTGAATGTTGTGACAGCGTGTTTGTTCTATTATCTCCTCAGGCAAAATCATCAGGAACTAGTTTAAAAGACTTTCGATTAAATTACTCAACTCAGAGAAAGTAACAAACTCCATCTATAGTCCCTCTGGAGGCTACTGACGGTCCCAAGCACTGATAAAGGAGGAGGGTTGGGCATGGGGTTAGCAACTAACTTGCTAAAAATCGCTTACCAGAAAACATTATTCAAACCATTTAAACTCCGCCCTGGGAGTCAGAAGGTCTTCATTTAGAAGATTTACGACGCCTCATGGTGAAAGCCGAGTTCCTCCGAAATTCACGAGGCCGATGCCCCTTCTGACAATCAGAGAAACCATTTATTTGGGTACATGGAATGCTCGTACAATGTAGGAGACCGGGAGAGTCTTCCAAGTTGCTACAGAAATGAAAAGACAAAGCCTGAAAGTGCTTGGGATCGGTGAAACACATTGGACGCAGGTTGGACAACAACGACTAGCCTCAGGAGAGCTTCTGTTATACTCCGGCCATGAAGAATAAAATGCCCCACATACACAAGGAGTGGTGTTGATGCTTCCCAAACAAGCACAAAATGCACTTGTAGGATGGGAATCTCATGGACCAGGAATCATCAAAGCCTCCTTCAAAACAAAGAGAGAGGGCATTACAATGAACGTCATCCAATGCTGTGCGCCACCAACGATTACAATGAGAATGTTAAAGATCAATTCTACAATAGGCTGCAGTCGATCGTCGAGAAGTGCCCAACAAAGGAACTGAACATTCTGATGAGAGATTTAAATGCCCAGGTTGGAATGGACAACACTGGATATGAAGACATCATGGGACGACATGGACTGACTGGGAGAAAGAAACGAAAATGGTGAGAGATTTGCAGACCTATGCGTCTTCAATAAACTGGTCATAGGTGTCAATATATTCCCACATAAACGCACTCACAAAGCCACATGGACTTCACCGGATCACATTACGCAGAACCAAATTGACCATATCTGAATCAACAAAATGTTCAGAAGGACGATGGAGGATGTGACCACTAGTCTAAGTGACTTGATATCGGGTGTGCTGTCTTGAGATGTATAGTGACTGGATTTAGTCGTTAGGTAACCATAGAGCTAGATTTCGTGGGAGTTGGCACTTTTCACAAAAGGATGACTAAAACCTTGGAAGAACTGATGCTCTCAGTAATATTTGAAGCAGCGTCATCCACCTTCACAATCTGAGACGTTATCACTTGTTGACAAGCACTAACTGACATGATCTCTAGATAAAGTTTAGTTTCATGCAAATAACCTCCAAATATCTAACATTCCAACTAAGTAGTTTGATGCACTGTCATTCGATTGTAATTTTTTATTAAATTTGACCAAGTATTATTCATGTGATAAATATATTCAACAGCCCCCATTCTTGGTCATTTTTATCAAAAAATAAGACTAACTTAGGACAATTAGCAGTGGCTTGCAACTCCTTATTGCTGTAATCAATCATTCTGTATTGCCATATATGCATCACATAAACACCTTTATATCTGTTGAACGATTTGATGACTATCCGGACTCAGTGGCTCAGTGGATAACGCGTTGGGTATTGAAGCGACGACCACTGATTTCAAGTATTAGTGTAAACACTGGTATTTAGGTGGATCTGGTTGGCGAGTTCTAAGTACAGTGAAACGCGTATCTCGGTTTCCGCTGTTAGCCAAATAATAAATAAAACCACAATCTTAAAACAACCTCTCCCTCTCCTGGTTTTTCTTTATCAAATATATAATGAAGACTGTGGAAATGCTGTCAATGGTCAGCAACATACCCACATGTTCTCTGGACGTTAATCCCTCTTCATTTATTCATTTGTTACATTTTTGTTTTGTCTTCTTAAAAAAATAAACCATGAAAAAAAATGAATTGAATTTTGATTTGTCACCTGACGAAGAAAACACATCAACACAACAACAACAACAACAACACATAATTGAATGATCAATCAGCTCTATAACATCACTGCTTAATGATGGCATTAGTTACCGGTATGAAAAGGACGCCATATTAGATAGAAAAGTCAATGTTTGTGTGTAATGGTTTTTATATCAAGAGTTCAGTGATAGTTAGTGAAGTAGATGAAACAACTTATTTAGCAAAGAATCGAATAAGAATATACCTATATATTATAGGAAAAATTTGTAGAGTGGTTGGATTATTTTATGCTTCATAGCACACTGGTGACTGTGTATGTTGTATATGTTTGTGAGTATATGGGTCAATGGAGTTATGTTTTGTATCGTAGTGTACTATAATATAGTATTAATACATCTTCTGTAAGATTTTGTAACCAACTAGTTTATATCTAAAGACAATAATCTAATATATATGAAATTAATAACTAGAGAATGACTTACAAATTAAGTGACCACTGAACTGTTAATGTTAACGAAAGATTTATTAATCTAATTTTCTTCTGTCAATCACTTAACCAATTCTAAGTCATCTGGTATAGTCACTTAGTGTAGATACATCAAAAAGTTGGCAACATAAATTATAACTCATCACGTTCAAGTTTATTTACTCGGCTCTAGGATACATATTTGTGTGATTATTAATTATACTAACCGACTGTACAAAAAAAAAGCAGTTGGAGTATAGTTCGAGGAGAGAACTTAATATCAGAATACTTCAGGTGATTATTGGACGTGCATCAAATAGGGTTAATCGCACTTTTTTGGATATTAAAAGTTGAAACAATTTTATAGTTCAAAGTCACAGGAGTTATCCAAATCAAATAAGGAACGATAAAAATTGATTCTGATTCTGTTGTATTAAGTCAGCATTCCTTCAAAGCTATGAATTTAACTATTAATAATGTAGTTGACTGAATAATACTATGATTGATTTGTTTGTTTATTCAATATTTAGATATTTACACAACTAGATAATCCAAATGATTAATAAAGCACAAATTTATATATGACACTGAATTGTTCAGCTAAAGATTCCCTATGACCGTAAATTAGAAAAGAACCAGGAAAACTTATAAAAGGAATATTGTAAAAGTAAATCATTTGACTTACACTTAAAAAGTTAAATCATCGGTTCAATATTGCATTTTCATCTCTAATTCTATTGGTTGATTCAACATTTCCACTGCTCAACACTATATTGGAATTGTTATTATTACTGTTATTATTATTATTATCGATAATTTCTTGATTTTCATCATTACTAAACTGTAGCAAAGACCAAGCTGACAAATTCACATCACTACCATGTTCAGACTGATTGATAATGTGTCTTGAGTATTGCAGTTTTGAATTATTCATTAAATGATTTAGTGAGACTCTTGAGTTGGTCTGTTTATCATTATCCTCATCATCAATATCATCATCACTAACATGAGTATTATCAGATATATTGATTTGTGTGTGCATGTCAGACAATAGATGATTCATTTTAAGATTAGAGTGATTTCTCCATATTGGATTTGAATAATCCAGAGTTCGTGATGAGGGTATATTGGTAGGAAGGCGTGGAAAAGAAATTGGTAAACTACTATTTATTTCAAGAGGCATAAATGATGGAGCTGATGAAACTGTGGTTAAGTTTGGATCATGAAACTTGTCTACAGTAAGTTGATTAAATGCTAAGGGCATATAATTAGTAGAAGAAACTGGTTGGAATGTTGTGGTTAGTGGTAACTCATGTTTTCTGCTATTATTACCAGTATGTCGTATTAGTGTTGTCAATTCTTCATGAGGTATTCCAATATCATCTGTTTCTTTATTTATCCAATCTCTTGGTGATTTGTTAAACCTTGAATAGTGTTCTACCGGTAAACCTGGAAACTCATCAATATATGGTAGTGAATTTCCAGTTATTACGCATGTTTTATCCATTGATGGCACATGAATCTCACCATCAATCAAAGGAAATCCTTCCCTGACTGTTCTGTTTTGTCCTAAATTTGAATATAACTCAGGATCTAATGTTTCGTAAGGTTTATGATGTTGTTGATGCTGAATTGAGGCGGATTGATTATACATATGGTGATAATGATGATGACGTTTAGCATCAATAGTATTTGCTTCATTCAGTAAATCGTCATTATCAACCAAATCATCATCTTCATCATCATATTCATCATCTATATTACCTTGTCCATATCGTTGTTGAATATCTTCTCTAAAATTTTGATTAATATGACAATGTGTGTGTGCATGACAATGATGATGATGGTAATGATGATGTGAACATCGCCTCGGTGAATTATTGATAGCTGGTGTCATTGCAACCATAGCCGCAGCGGCTGCAGCTGCTGCTGCTACGGCTGAAACGCGTTCAGGACAATAGAAAGCAGTTTCATTAGGTAATTGTGATGTGAAATATGAGCCAAATTTATTATTCATAGGATTATTACTATGATTAGCGCAACTGTTATTATTATTATTATTATTATTATGTATGTTTATATTACTATTCAAGTTATTCGTTGTGGTATTATATGCTTGAGATCGATTTATTCGACATAAATAAGGTGATGTATTTCTAAAATCAATATTAGGACCAAAATAATCACCATTATCATAATAATAATTTTTATTATAATTATCATTATAATTAAAATTAACATTGGTATCATTGGTTAAATTATTTTTTACATTTGGTAACTCATAATAATCTTCTATTGAGTTCAATTGTGATAAATCTGTTGTAATTACAGAATCAAATTCTGTACTATCGTTAATATTATTATTATTATTATCATTACCTTTTTGATGAATATATCCTAAACATGTATCATATTGTATACAATCAATTGAATTCATTGTAGTTAATGTATTCTCTATAGGATAATTTATATTCATTGATAATGTAGTTGGTGATAATACTGATGTTAATGTAGTTGGTATATTATGTAATAAATTAGTTGATTGTAACCACCAATCTGATGATGATGATGATGATAAATGATTTATTTCATGTATAGTTAAATGATTAGAATTTTTTAATTGTCTTATTGATTGAATTGAATTAGTTTGTTCTTTTAAATAATTCATATTAGAAAGTGTTGTTACTAATTGATATGATAATGGAGGTAATAAAGATTCATTTAAATAATTCTCTGAACTATTTTTTGATAAAATTGAATCAATTGAATTTGATCGAGAATTTAATTTAAGATTTAATTGAGAACTAGTTGTATTCACGAATGGATCATTATTATTATTATTATTAGTAGTAGTAGTAGTATTATCAGTGTTATCGTTGTTGCTAAGATTATTATGTAATAATTGTGTTAAACATGGTGATGATTTCGGTGGTCTTGATAATAATAATAAACTTTCATTTATTTGTTGATTGATTAAATTCTCTTCGATTTTTTCATTTCCATTGGGATGATTTACATTAATCTTATTGTTATTATTATTATTATATGGGTTAATTGATGGCTTATATGGATATTCTGCTTGAATATTTGTATCATTCAATGTTGAATTACTTTGTACAATTGATTGTAATTTAGGAGTTGAATAATTGTTACGATTTTCTTTGAAAACATTAGTGAAAGGTTTTAATTCATTATGACTTACCTTTAAAAAAAAACAAAAAAACAAGACAACAATTGAAAATAAATCAATTTGATGATGGGTACATTTATTGTAATGTGTATTATGTAATCAATATTATTGACTTAGTATTGTTTGTTTGAATCTTTCCATAGGACGAAACGCGTGTCCTGGATTCCACTGCTAGCCACTGTCCATCTTTGCTTATAATGCTTGTGAATTAAGGCTATATTGAGGCAATACGCACAGTATGCACATATGCCAATTAGAGATTGACCAGTTGCAGTTCCAACTCATCAATGGGAAGATTCAAACAAAACAATACTAAGTGAATTTAAACTTCACCCCAATGCACAAGCAAGTGTCTATCAGGACTCAGTGGCCGAGTGGATAAAGCGATGGCATTTGAAGCGAAATTTCCTGGGTTCGAGTCACAGAGTGAACATCAATTCTGAGATGCATGTACATCCAATTGACGAGTCCCAAATAAGACGAAATACTAGTCCTGGATTCCACTGTTAGATGCTATCAATCAATATTATTGTTGAATTGTTGAAAGAAATCGTCTGGACGAAATGTTTCACCTATATGTTTTATCCTACATGACATTCATATTATTAGTAAGGATTTAAATTATTGGACTGTATTGAATTTTGATCAGTCTTTGTTGACATGTGTATCGTGTAAGAATTCCTTCTATATATCCATGTTTTACAAATGCTTTAGAACAAATGAGTCATTGCTAGAAATGAAATCCAGCAACTCAGCCTACAGTTTATTGGAGTTTGAAGAGAAAAGCATAGGTTTCATGCCGTACTGTGAACAAAAACAACACAATACAACTATATCTAGCTGGAGAATTTTAAAAAGGATGAAACACAAGTCTTAGATTCACGTGATAGTCACCATCTATTTATTCTCAACAGCTATATATGATTCGTCACTATGAGGTATCGGAGACAATGAGGAAAGAGATGCTCACCATGGGATTCGAACTCATAATATTAAATGATGCACAGATTTTACTAAAGAGCTATTCAGGCGGACACTAGTTACTTCAATACCCTAGGCACGCTTTCCTAACAATTGTCAGCTAGGATAAAATCTCCGTCAGCTAGTGTCTCAAACCGTCTCTCCATAAATATTTCGAATCCTTCGGAAATGATATTTTTTAGCTAACATAACGTAATGAATAATAAATAACTATTTAGGCGGATCCCGGTCGTTGCTGCTACCTTGACGTGGTGGTCGGGCTTGCCTATCGTGATGAAGCAATCGAGCTATACTGGCTGGAACAATCGTTCCTCGAGGTCCTACCATGCCAGACAGGTCGGTTGAAGAGCGGTAAGACTGAAACAGCAATCCCTAGGTCCGAAGGCGAAGTGGTACTGCCGACTGTACAGAGGTGTGACGGCAGTAAGGTGTTTCCTTCAGACAACCAGCATCACAGCGATGCTGCCTTCCCACAAGGAGGGGTGGGGCTAGAAAAGGTCGACCCTAAAAATGCACACCTCGCCTTATCCCACGGATTTCCGTCTCTGGCGGTAAGGTCCTTTGAAGAACGGAGCTAACACGTCGAAAATCCCCCACAAAAAGGCCGTGCGTGACCGGCCTCAAGCAGTTGTCCCTTGGGCACTGCGGTCACGCTCCCAGGTCGTTAAGACCAACACTAATCTAACTTCCTTTTCAGGTCCCTCAAGAAATACCCTTCCACGATGTGGGCAATCGGGTAGTGATATTAGCCCCTATACACGTAACTACACACGAGACCAAGTTGGTCACTTTCAAATCCTTCCTACACCTTCTGATAGCTCTCTTATCTCCACGACTAACCCTTCCCACGTCCTTTTATCACCTCGCACCGCTAGGGTAAACGATTCAAGTACACCGAACGTTATTCCTGGTCTCCTGAAACCACGCTCTAAACTACATATATGAACTTTTAATGTCCGAACATTGTGCCAAATAGGACAACAGGCTTCCTTAGCTAGGACTCTAGAATCTTACACCATCGATGTGTGCTGCGTCTCCGAAACGCGCATACAAGATTCGAGTAGTGTCATTCATTTGACCTCACCATGCCATAATAAAGAACCGACTCGATTCACGCTTCGTGTATCTGGAAGTCCTGATGCTGCTTCCCGTGGCCTCGCTGGAGTAGGTATAGCATTAAGTCTTAGAGCAGAACTAGCTCTTTTAGGCTGGATTCCAATAGACAGTCGCTTGTGCGCTGTCCGACTAAACGGATCAGTAAGGACTCGGAAAGATAGGGAAACTCGTCGTTGCCTCTTCGTCGTCTCTGCCTACTCTCCCACTGACTGCAGCTCAGACGATATAAAAGATGAGTTTTACAGGAAACTTTCTGACCTTCTCCGGAAAGCTAGGCGTTCTGATGTAGTAATAGTGGCTGGTGACTTTAATGCTCAAGTAGGTAAACTAAGGGAAAGGGAAAGACACCTGGGTGGATCTTATGGTGTCGTGGCTAAAAGAACAGATAATGGCGACCGTCTGTTGCAGCTGTGCTCAGATAACCGCCTGTTTCTTGCAAATACTAGCTTTAAGCATAAGGAAAAACATCTTTTGACATGGCGACCCCCGAATTCGTCCCAACGTTGGACCCAATTAGATCACATCGCTATCAGCCACCGATGGAGGGGCTCGATAGAAGACTGTCGCTCATTCTGGAGCTCATGTTTAGACTCAGATCATGCCCTAGTGCGAGCACTTATCTGTCTGCGTCTTACTGGACGCAGGAAAGACACTGCAGGGAAGCCTCTAAGGGTTCTACGTAATGATAAGCAAGCTAAGAATATATTTCAGGAAGAACTGGAAAAACGGTTAGACATACATACAAGTTTAGCCCAACCCGAAGCAGCGTGGAATGACATCCGTAAAGCTGTAAAAACAGCAGTGATATCCGCTAGTAAGGTAAGCCATAAGGTCAGGGAGAAACAATGGATCTCGGCAGCATCTACCGCACTGATAGATGCTCGAAAACTCATCCCACTTGGCTCTGAACATAACGAAGAGTGGAGTCAGCCTAAGCGCAGGCTAATAAGAAGCCTACGCAATGATCGTGAACAGTGGTGGGTAGCGAAAGCAAGAGAGATGGAAAAGGCAACGGCAACAACAGACAACTGTTCAGACTTCTTAAGGAAACCGGTATTAGGAACCCAACTATTAGAGAAACTATCTCAGACAAAGATGGGCATATCATTCATTCCCAATCCAGGAGATTGGATCGATGGGCAGAACACTTTAGAGATCATTTCAACTGGCCTTCAGCCACACTTCAATTACTCACGATCCCGGTCGTCCTGAATGGAAAACTGATGTAAGTCCTCCAACTCTCTACGAGGTTGAAAAAGCTATAGGAAATCTGAAGCGGGGGAGAGCCGCAGGTCCTGACAGTTTTACCCCTGAGATTTTTAAGGATGGTGGTCCAGTACTAGCAGTGAGATTGACTGAGGTCTTAGGTAGAATCTGGGAACTGGACGTAATTCCATCTGACTGGTCCCAATCACTGATTATGCCAGTCTATAAGAGTGGGCAAAAGTCCTCTTGTGACGATCATAGAGGAATCAGTTTGACTAATATAGTGTCTAAAATATTAGCTTCAATAATACTCCGACGCCTAACGAAAGCTCGTGAAGAGCAAACTAAAGAAAAATAGACTGGTTTTCGACCTGGACGTGGTTGCATAGACCAGATATTCACTCTACGTCAGGTCCTAGAACATAGACATACATTCAGACGTCCCATAATAGTAGTATTTCTTGACCTTAAGGCGGCATTTGACTCCGTTGATCGTGAGGTTGTATGGCAGTGTTTGTCAGTGAAAGGAGTACCAAAGAAGTACATTAACCTCATAAAGGCTCTGTATTCGAACACAACTGGTCGAGTTAGAACCTATGGCGAACTGTCATCAGAATTGGTTACCTCAAGTGGTGCTCGTCAGGGCTATCCACTCTCTCCATTCTTGTTTAACTTTGTCGTTCGGTGAAGACTGTGACAAAATGCAGAGTCTTCTGAACACTATAAGCAACAATGCAGACATGTTCGGGATGCGATTCTCTCCCTTGAAGTGCAAAATGTTACTTCAGGATTGGGTTGCATCGACACCTGAACTAATGATAGGGAGTGAAGTAGTTGAGCGTGTTGACAGCTTCACTTATCTTGGGAGTCTCATCAGCCCTTGTGGTCTGGTGTGTGACGAAATCTCAGCACGGATACAGAAGGCTCGTCTAGATTTTGTCAACTTGCGTCATTTATGGTGTAGGCGAGATATCCGTCTAGCAACCAAAATACGTGTTTACTGTGCAGTAGTTCGTTCCATCCTATTTCACGGCAGTGAAACATGGCCGGTAAGAGTAGAGGATATTCGTAGGCTACTAGTTTTCGATCATAGATGTCTTCGAAGCATTGCTCGTATATCCTGGGACCACTGGATAAGTAATGCAGATGTTAGGAAACGGGTACTAGGTAAGGATGGCAAATCGATTGATGAAGTAGTGAAACATCATCAGTTGAGATGGTTGGGACACGTGTTACGTATGCCCAACCACCGACTGCCCCGACGTGCAATGTTTTATGGTGTAGGAGTAGGTTGGAAGAATGCTAGGGGCGGCCAGACCAAAAAACGGCATAAATCCACGAAGTCGCTGACAAGTAAACTGAGCCATGTTGGTAGGTGTAGACTACCTGGTTGGGATTCGCGAGATGATAGCAACCGATGGTTAGAGACCTTGAATGACATGGCTCAAAATCGTTTGCAATGGTGAAGGTGTATCCACTCTTTGTGTTCTCCCAAATTCTAATCTGAATTATTTGTGTCCTTTTTCTCTTTCCAAATATATTTCACCGTATTATAATCCTTGAATAACATCTTCAAACCCTTATCTTTCACATAATACTTATACTCTTACTACTTCTACCAATATGGGATTTGAATCAACAACTTCATCTCTCTGCTAATGTAGTATGGCAATTCGAACTGATGTACGTACGTACGAAGTTCTACGTTGTAACTGACTGACTGACTGACTGATTTAGGCGGATGTACGTATATACATAAAAATAAAATTCAATTATCCCCATTTTTAGATGAGTGGGTGTAGTTCTTAAAATAAAAAACTTTCATTTCTCACCATTTCCCTAAGTGTTTTTTCTGTATCTTTTCTCACGTTAATCAATCGACATGGATCACATGGGCAATTTCTAAATGGACAAGTTTTCTTATGTCCTTTCCAAGTAACAGCTATTGAATGATTACGACATCGTCGACAATGTGGACCAGATGTAATTGTTTGTTTATCGTCCATCATGGTTACCATTGATCGTAATGAATTAGAATGAGTTGATAACTGAACTAATGTTGAATTGATTCTTTCATCACAAAAACTAGGATCATGTATTCCTGTAGTATCAGATAAACGAGTAGTGTTACGTGTTGTAGTTGCATTTTTATTCATTTTTGCCTCATCAATTCCATTCCGTCCGAGATTGGTAGTTGCAATAGGTAAGGCAGCTGTAGTCGTGGTAGGTATTTTTTTCATTGACGATGAAGGTGATGATGATACTGTTTCTGTAGATGTCTGTAACCAATGAATATTAGCGGATGTTTGTACACGATTCAAACTCGCTTGTTGTTCATGTGTATCACGTTGATGTGAATTACCAGTTTGATCACGATAAAGAGCTATTTGTTTAGCGACAACCTAGAGAGATAGAAACCCAAAACAAAAACCAATAGTTAGAAGTTTGAAAACAAAATTTTCCTTTCTAATTTACAGACATTGATTTTTCGGAAGACTTTATCATTTATTTGTACAATTATAAGTTATTTCAAAGGTTTACTAGGTGTGTTTAACTACAAAATTCAAATAGGGTGTTCTTTTTTAATCATCTGAATGTGATCATAGCATAATTTCAAATCTAACATTGTAAACTGATACATTTATTTACTAGATTACTTTAATGGTCAAAAGGGTGTTTGATGACGATGAAGAAAGAACTTAGATATTTATGAGACTATTTTAAGGTTAGACGTTAACACTGTTAGATGTTGGATCAGTGATCCAGAGGTTAAATATTCACGTGTGAGATCGAAAGTTCTGTGTTTGATCATGGATGTGCACTGCTGAGGGGCGTCACACTTGAACGAAACGGTCATCCAGTTCTTCCAGGTTTTTAATGCTGATCTAACTTGAGTCATTTCATGATTTCACTGAAATTCAACAATCTCCATCACACCCGACTGAATATCATGACATAACATAATTGATTTTATAACATAGTTCGTATTTAAATGAAAAATAGGTCTATTATTTAAAGGCAAATGAAAAGAATGTAAACAGAAAAGAACAACAAATTTTGTTATTGTACACATCAAAACTAGTTATCGAGGTGTGTTACAACCATCTAACAATCCAAAAAAGTTCATATAATGTCGAATAACTTAGACTAGTGACGATATTGTAACATGGTTGTTAGAATTTGATCATTATCAAAGTCTTGAAAGACATGAAATTAGTCACTACTCAAAAATCGGTCAATGTAAATATACAAGCTTAATAGGAAGTTAGTCATGCTTCACATAGCTCATTGTTTAATGTCTTAGGTTATAAAAGTGGATGACCATTGTCTACTGGAGATTTAAAACAAATTTTATCGTCAAGTGTCAACTAACCCAAAATCCATGTCAAAAGTTTTCTATCTTCAACTAAAGAACTAGTTATTTCTTTTTCAATTAAAGATCACCTATTCTATGGTTATCATACTTACTTACTTACTTACTTACTTACTTACTTACGCCTGTTACTACTTGCTGAGGAGTATAGGCTACCCACCATATTGTCATCATGAATCCAATAAAATCATAAATTATACTAAATTGGAATTTTGTACTTCATTCATTTTTTTTAATAAAAATACTATTTCTTTTTATTTGGTTACCATGTTAAACTTTTATAGAATTATATCAATCTTTCAAGCACAATTAACTCAATATTTCAAATCTAATTAGTTCATAATGTTTGTTGTATACCCAACTCTATAAATAAGTATAGAAATTATAATAGATAAATTTGAAAAACAATCTTCCTCCCCTCCGCAACTACATATTTTTTTCAGTATCTTATTGATTTTTTTTTTCAGAACAAAATAAATTACAAGCAAAGATGGATAGTCGCTAACAATGAAATCCAGGACGCTCGTTTCGTCCTATTTGGGACTCGTCAACTGGATGTATTTACATCTCAGAGTTGATGTTCACTATGGGACTCGACAACATCAAATGAATCTTTAAAAAAGTGTACAGTTTCTATTTATAAAATAGGAATTGTTTAAAGAAAAAATATATATTAGATGGATAAAACAATTAATTATTCTATCTATTTATCCATCTAATACAAATTATTAGATTAACATTCTGTTACATGAACGCCAGATAGAGATTATTATTATTAATTCAGTTATCTTCTATTTCTCTGTATGTATTGGTTGTTTCGATTTTATTCTCAATAATTTAATCAAATGTTTTGCTTTTCAATCGATTGGATACATTATCTTATTTTACTTGTATAATGTTATACTTTCTATGTAACTTTGATGCTCACTCCAGGACTCAGGGATGCAGGCACATCTAGCTGATAAGTCCCAAATAAGACAAAACGCACATCTTGGATTCCATTGCTTGCCACTATCCATCTCTGCTTATAATACCTGTGACTTAAGGCAATATCGAGGCAATCCGTACAGGATTCACATATACCGATAAGAGACTGATCAACTGTAGTCTTAAACATCAATGGGAAAATTCAAATAACCAATACAAAACAGAATAGAGAGTAACTTATACCTAAATTTTGTTATCAGAATATTATAACTCTTTTTCTCTTATATAATCCCAAATAATCCGAATAAGGATCTTACTGAGAAAAAAAGATTTATTGATACGTATTGAATACATAATACTATTTCATCATTGGTATTTGTTCACTTCTATATAAATTAGCTATGACGATTTAATAGTCTAAACAACGCTGTCACACTGAACAAACGTCACGTGAAATTACTACAAATGAATATGATTATACCCAGTGAAGACCAAATAAATGAAGATCAGATTAGATGAATATATGACATAACACTTGAGCTCTCTGTCCTAAATTGTATTTAAGAATTTTACATCATCGATCTTATATACGATTCCGAATATTTATCTTAAATTATCTCATGATATAATGAATTAAATATCAAACAATATTTTTTTTCAAAAATTTAACTGATTACACGAGTCAACTTAACCTAAACTAGGACTGAAAACTTGGAAGCATTGGACGGTAGTTTCGTCACACTATGGGCTATTCACCAGTGCGCATCAACACATCGACTAATCAATTCAACTAGGAAAATACTACAATCTCCAAAAATCACTATTCTCATAACAATCATATACTCATTAGTGACTAGCTTCAACATGAATTTCTTGAAGATCTAGTGAGAAACCGTGACCAATGAAGTCCAATCCGTGTAGGATGTGAAACAGTTACCCACCTCAGACAATGGATGAAAAGTTTCACAAGATCATGGATTGATTGAACTTAGACATTAACCCCATCAAATAACGGATCAGTGATTTAGATATTAAATATTCGCATATGAGATTGAAATTCGTGTGTCCGACTTCTGATGTGCAGGATCGTGTGTGTGGACTGTTGAGAAGTGCCATACTAAGACACCAAACGGCTATTCAGTGTTTCCAGATTTTCAATGGTTGTCTAACTTAGATCGACCCGTGAATTCAACTTTGAATATACTACAATATCAAGAAATCCTCATACTGATTTAACTTATTAACAGATTAACAACATTAGAGAATTAAAGTCATCTTGTATAATATATCAAACATTCTCACAGATGAAGTATTAATACACTTTTAAAATAAGCAACATAAAAATAAACAGAATAGATTACTCACTTTTCTACCTTGATCAACAAGATGACATTTAATACATTTACAATTTGTATATGGACATGTACGTTTATGTCGTTTAACTGGAATATTATGTCCATGTGTTTTACACTTACGACACATATATGACGCTCTTGAACAAATAGATGCTGTTCTATAATGATGAACATGATGGTGATGATGATGATGTGGATGTGAATGATTGTTTAATCGATTTTGTACAGTTGAACGTAATGAATTTCCATATTCTTTATAGTCTTGACTACAAATTGAACGATTTATTGTATTTGAAGTTCTTGTCGTGTTTGTAGTGGTAGTGGTAGTCGTAGTAGTAGCAGTTGGTGTACCTATTCCCATGGTCATTGTTGTTCTCGGATTTTGGTGATGATGTGAAAACTTGGAAGTAGAAGATTTTGATGCATGTGTTGATGTGAACAATGATGATGATGATGATGGCAAGTTAATTAGACTGTTCTTTAAATTATTATCATTATCATTATTATTATTATTATCATTACGAGTATTACCTAATTTTTGAACACTGAACTGTTGTTCAATTGTATCTTTATTTAATATAACATTGACGGTTGAAAATGGTATATTATTCATAGGTTTTATTTTTAAACATTCAGTTAATGATGATGCAGATGCTGCTGTCTCCGCTGATGATGATGATGATGATGATGTTGGTGTCAATGTTGAATAATTCATTTCATTTTGTATTCGTTCATTTTGTTGATTTTGTTGTATAGAATGTATAAATTCTGAATTATCCATTTCATCAATTAATTGATGATCCCGATCATGATCATCATGATCATGGTGATGATGATGATCATTATTATTGAATGGATTAGTTAAATTGAAATGAATAAAAGGATTATGTAATGTTTTACTTAATAAATTATTAGATATTGATAACATTGAATTAATTTTATTATTTACTGATAATGACATTGGATTATTTGTTGTTGTTGTTGTTGTTGGTGGTGGTGGTGGTGTTGTTGTATATACAAAATTATTGAAATTCAATTCTTGTTCATTTATATAAGTAGTATCTGAGTTTAAATGATGAATATTATAATGATGATGATGATTATCTGAATAAAATTGTGGGATAGTTGAAATTGATGATGAAGTTGTTGGTGAATTATCATTAATAGATTCTTGTTTAAAGCAAATTGAAGAAATTTCTGAATTTGTCATTTTGTTTTTCTTTTTGTTTCCTTTTTACTTTAGAAGCTATATAACAATAGATGAATGATAAAAGAAAAAATAATAATATTCGTGTTTATGCGGTTTTATGAGATTTTAGTAATTTTATATAGTTGAGATAATGAGTCTATTGAAGCGAGACTGATAGGTCCTGGGTTCGAATCTCATGAGGCGGGATCGTGGGTGCGCACTGTTGAGGAGTCTCACAATAGGACGAAATGGCTATTCAGTGCTTCCAGGTTTTTCATGGTGATATATATATATATATATATATATATATATGCGACTGTACAGCTTGATAATAAATTCTTTGACAATAGATCCCTTCGCTGAACTTCGTGTTTTTATGTTTAAATGGGAATTATCTATCAAATGTGTATCTGTCTTGGCCTATTACACCCATCGTGTTTGTTTTTCTTTGGAAAAAAACATGCATATCCGTTTCAACTTTATAAGACACTAAATTTTTAGTGTATCACATCAAGCTATTAGAGTAAGTCAAAATGTCCTTACTTGGACCCTCCCATCCACCCACCCACCACCCACACAACATTCTAATAAAAATCTGCTTTTGGTTTTCCTTAAGTGAATACACTAATATATCTAGAGATGATGGGTAGGTGAGTGGAGTGAGGAGGAGGAGGAGGAGGAGGAGGAGGACTAACTAGAAAGTTTATGGCTTATAAATAACAGATCATCTTTTGTTTTTTACCTAATAATAACAATCATTATTATTATTATTATTATTATTATATTGCTTAAGGTAAATTTTAATGACAATTAAATAACTCAAATGAAAATCATTAAAAAAAAAAATGCAACATGATGAAAAGATTACAGTACGAAGGTGAAGTGGTAATGGCAATTCAGACCCCCCCTCCCTAAGGAATTTTATGACTTAAAAATAAAATAAATAAAATAAAATCTTGTTGGTAATTTGACTCTTGTTGCTTGTTTGTATTTCACTTGTCTCATATAGATATTAAGTCACATATATATATTGACTGTGTTCTTTTTTTATCGAAATTAACTTAGGTAAATAATGTAATAATAAGGAGGTGGCAGGGAGTGAGTGTGGATTGAATAGGAATGCATGTATATATATATATATATATTCTTAAATTATCATTTCAAATAAACAAATATATTGATTATGCATGAATTAATTTTGAAAAGATATGGGTGGGAAATGGAATGAATTGTACAAGTGGAAATCTCCTGGTGAATAACATTTGAATTTGATGGTAAAGATTAATATCGAATAGGGCTATTACTGAAAACTAGAGAATACTGAACAAGCGTTACAATTTGGTAAATGGCTACTAATCAGAACTTACACTTTGGCTAGAGGGATTGACTTCATGACCATCAAGTTTTGATATCATTAAATTATCTTTTAAACACTGATTCATAGCCTATTAATTTTATATTACCAACTTCAGTTTATTTTTTTCTACATTATGAAGATCGTTTAATACCATTTATGACAACTATTTGTATTTTGACAACTTTCTGACTTTTATCAATCATAAATTATCATTAGAACCTCTGAAATCTGTTAGAATCTTTTAAGTATTTCTTTGAAAAGTCTTTAGAATCTTGAAAAATCCTAAAAGCACTTCTCCACATCGGTATTGAATAAAAACTTACAAGAGTGTTCTAAAAAATAATGGTTTATGTTTTATATTCAAATGGATTAATATTATGATTGAAGGCTTTACGATGATTTGATGAGCAAGATTTTCGATTATCAAAATCAGTGACTAGAATATTAATCGATATATGAACGTTATGATATAATGTGTCCAATGGATAGTTGTTCACGTGACTGATTTTACTACTAATTTAGGCATGTTTTCAGATATTTTTTAGAATATCGAAGTCAACTATAAATCTATGCATATTCTTGTTCTTCGTACCCAAAGTTTTCTTTTATACATTCTATATTTTGTCTCTCACAATCGGTTGTAGTGTAGGAAATTCTAAATGACTATTGAACAGTTAACAAGTCAGTATCAAGTTTTTAAATACCAGATCTATCAAAGTTCACTTTAATCTGACTATTAGTGGAAATTAACTTCAATTATCGATGTATTCCGTTATAGACTGATATTAGTTATGATTGATTAAGTTTAATTTTGTTAAGAATATGACAAACATTAAAGTTGATATTTAAATGATTTCACCGTATTTACGAATGGATTCCGTAAGGATCGGTCGTGCACAGACCAGATTGCGACACTACGGATCATCGTTGAACAATCAGTTGAGTGGAACTCATCACTATACGTCAACTTCATCGACTATGAGAAGGCGTTTGACAGCGTGGATAGGAGAACATTGTGGAAACTTCTTCGACACTATGGAGTTCCTCAGAAGATCGTCAACATTATCCAAAACTCATACGATGGATTACAGTGCAAAGTGGTGCATGGAGGACAGCTGACAGATGCATTTCCAGTAAGGACCGGAGTCAGACAAGGCTGTCTACTCTCCCCATTCCTCTTCCTTCTAGTGATTGACTGGATTATGAAGAATTCGACATCCGAAGGGAAATACGGAATACAATGGACTTCTCAGAATCAATTAGATGATTTGGACTTCGCAGATGACCTAGCCCTCCTCTCTCATACACACGACCAAATGCAGATGAAGACAGCAAATGTAGCAGCAGCCTCCGCATCGATAGGCCTCCACATTCACAAAGGAAAAAGCAAGATTCTCAAATGCAACACAGAGAACACCAACCCAATCACACTTGATGGCGAAACTCTGGAAGAGGTGGAAACATTCAAGTACCTGGGGAGCATCGTTGATAAACAAGGAGGATCGGATGCAGATGTAAAGGCAAGGATTGGCAGAGCAAGGGCAGCATTTCTACAATTGCAGAACATATGGAACTCAAAACAACTCTCAACCAATTTCAAGGTCAGAATCTTTAATACGAACGTCAAGACAGTTCTACTGTATGGAGCTGAAACGTGGAGAACTACTACGGCCATCATCAGGAAGGTACAAGTATTTATAAACAGTTGTCTACGCAAAATACTCAACATCAACTGGCCGGATACTATCAGCAACAGCGTTTTATGGGAGAGGACAAACCAGCTTCCAGCTGAAGAGGAAATAAGGAAAAGACGTTGGAAGTGGATCGGACATACATTAAGGAAATCACCAATGTGCATCACGACTCAATCCTTAACTTGGAATCCGGAAGGGAAGCGGAAAAGAGGAAGGCCAAAGAACACACTACGCCGGGAAATAGAAGCAGATATGAAAAGGATGAATGTTAACTGGAAAGAACTGGAAAGGAAGGCTCAGGACAGAGTTGGATGGAGAATGCTGGTGAGCGGCCTATGCTCCTCGACGAGGGGTAACAGGCGTAAATAAGTAAGTAAGTAAGTATTTACGAATAAACAGAGTTTAAAAATGTAAGACTATTGGAGATCGACCAAATGAATTGAACATATCATACTTATTACATGACTCAAATATGTTTAATTTGAATTGAATGAATAATCTCAAACAAGAACAATCACTTAATTCATTTTAATATTGTTTGTTTCAATCTTCCCATTGATGTTAAGGAGTATAATTGATCAGTCTCTTATTGGCGTATGTGCATCCTGTGTGGATTGTCTTGATATTGCCACAAGTAACAAGTAGAATAATTGCTTAAGGTGTACTTTTCTTATATGTATATCTCTTTTCATGTATGTTCAACATATGCATTATTGAAATAAATGATAATAAAACACAACTTATGTCAGTTTGATTCCTTTAGAAAGTCAATACTTCTACAAACGGCGTCTTACAATGTATGTAATATCTGTCTACAGAATTTATGAAAAATAAACTAAATTATATTACAACACAACGATCTTCGATTTATGTACATATAAGTACTAACTTTTCTAAATGATTTGTACAAAACAATAATGGTTGTTCACTTAGTATTGTTTGTTTGTATCTTCCCATTGATGTTTAGGACTGCAACTGGTCAGTCTCTTATTGGTCATATGTGCATACTGTGCGTATTGCCACGATATAGCCTAAATTCACAAGCATTATAAGCAAAGATGGGTAGTGGCTAGCAATTGAATTCAGGATGCACATATGCCAATAAGAGACTGATCAGTTGCAGTCCTAAACATTAATGGGAAGATACAAACAAACAATACTAAGTAAATTCAAACGTCACCCCATTGCACAAGAAAGTGGTTATCAGGACTCAGTGGCCGAGTGGATAATGCGATGGCGTTTGAAGCGAAAGAAACTGGGTTCGAGTGCCAGAGTGAACATCGACTTTGAGATTCAGATACATCCAACTGACGAGTCCCAAATAAGACAAAACGCGCGTCCTGGATTCAACTGCTAGCCACTATCCATCTCTGCTAATAATGCTTATTATTTACCATGTTAATATTAGAATTGATTTACTTCAGAGTTTACTTTGAACAAAAGAAAAAGGAGAGATTTCATGTTAATTTATATTTTAAATGTAATTTACACAAGAAGTAATTAGCTTTTCACACTTCGTTTAGTATTGATAGTAAATCATTTTGTACTTGACAATGAAATAAACCATTTTTGTCAATTTCAAAACGTTAAAGCTGTAGGTAGATGTAATCCCTACTAAAGCCAATCATTAGATAAATGATAGGTAGAATAGGGGTTTTGTGGAGTTTGTAGTAATTGTGATGGTTGAATTCATGATTTCACCTAAACTAAATCACCAATGTAAACCTGGGAGCCGTGACCAGTGGAGTCAAATCCGTGTAGGGTGTGAAACAGTTATCCATCTCAGACAATGAATGAAAAGTTTCACAAGATCATGGATTGATTGAACTTAGACATTAACCCCATCAAATAACGGATCAGTGATCTAGATATTAAATATTCGCATATGAGATTGAAATTCGTGTGTCCGACTTCTGATGTGCAGGATCGTGTGTGTGAACTGTTGAGAAGTGCCATACTAAGACACCAAACGGCTATTCAGTGTTTCCAGATTTTCAATGGTTGTC